TTACCCCGCCAACCTCAAGTGGGGGTGGTGGGGGGGGGAGTAGGGAGAGAGGGGGTAAGTGGGTTTGGAAATCGATTGTATAGTATCAGATTCCCCCCACAGAGGATTACAAAGAAGATCCAATTCTGCTAAACTTGAGACGTATTTTTTTTTCACCTATGATAAATTTACCAGGACGAGAATTAATGGTTTAAGAATCGATTACAGTTGTCAACATCACCGATAAGAGAGTCTGTAGGTGTAATTTGTGTGTTAATGACTGCAGACACCTGGTTTAAGGAACGTTTCTAAGCTACAGACAGACAGACACACACACACACACATGTACGTAAGTGTTGCTCAAGTAGGGGAGTCTGAACGTGTACATAGGGTCGTTTAGTTCAGTTGTGGTTGACGAACGTTCTGCTTTAACACTGCTTTCTGATTTTGTTCCCTTTAAGGCTGTTGGACACACACACACACACACACACACACACACACACACACACACACATACACACGTTAGTAAGGGAGGGGGGTGAGGCGGCCAACCAATGAACCTTGAAGGGCCACCAGTTGGAATTTCGACTCACGAATCGCTCAGTGTTGGAGGAATATATTACCCACACGCATATGGTGCCTGGAAGAGTGCCAGTGCCTCCATACTCCAGCAGGGACTCATTCCTTATACCCCATTATGTTAAATTGAGGTCAGGTCAGGTCAGGTCAGCCCAAGTCAAGTCAGGTTAAGTTAGAGGCAAGATAAGTTAGAGTACATTTGGTAATTTAGGTATGATTACGTTGGGTTAGGTTAGGTTTAATTATCGTACGTTATTATAGGTTAAATGAGTAAAGTTATTCCAAATCGGGTTAGGTTTGGTTAGGTTTGGTTAAGTTAGGTTAGGTTAGGTTAGGTTAGGTTAGGTTAGGTTAGGTTGGACTGGATCACTGCCCTCAATGGCCATACCCCCGACAGCTTTAAGCCACCATGACAAACTTACGAACATTGTGTGTACTGTAGAGACAATACTGCCAAGTGACCAGGCAATTTCGTCTGTAACTGTACATTAACTACCATACTGAGTGTACTTTAACTATACCACAAGGAAGTGTGTTTAATACATGTATACATCACCACACACACACACACACACACACACACACATGTATTGATGCAAGAAATTAATTACCATAAGTAGTCATACATACGTGTACGCGTTTACACACGCACACACACACACACACACACACACACACACACTAAACACAAAGGCTAACAACAGAATCTACTCATGTATGCTGTCAAATATGGTACATGATGACACACTAACCACACCTCATTCATCACCCAACACACTCACCCATCACCCAACACACTCATCCACCACCCCCCAACACACTCACACACCCGCCACCCCAACACACCCATCCACCACACCAACACACTCACCCACCACCCCAACACACTCACCCACCACCCCAACACACCCACCCACCACCCCAACACACTCATCCACCACACCAACACACTCACCCACCACCCCAACACACACTCACCCACCACACCAACACACTCACCCACCACCCCAACACACTCACCCATCACCCAACACACCTCACCCACCACACTAACACACCATTCATCACCCAACACACTCACCCATCACCCAACACACTCATCCACCACCCCAACACACTCACCCATCACCCAACACACTCACCCATCACCCAACACACCCATCCACCACCCCAACACACTCACACACCCGCCACCCCAACACACTCATCCACCACACCAACACACTCACCCCACCACCCCAACACACTCACCCACCACACCAACACACTCACCCACCACCCCAACACACTCACCCACCACCCCAACACACTCACCCACCACACCAACACACTCATCCTCCACACCAACACCTCACCCACCACACCAACACACTCACCCACCACACCAACCACCACCCACCACACCAACACACTCATCCACCACACCAACACACTCATCCACCACACCCACACACCCATCCACCACCCCAACACACCCACCACACCACCAATACACTCACCCACCACACCAACACACCTCACACACGCGCCACCCCAACACACTCATCCACCACACCAACACACTCACCACCACCACACCAACACACACCACACCACCACACCAACACACCCACACACCCACCACACCCACACCACCTACCACACCAACACACTCACACACCCGCCACCCCAACACACTCATCCACCACACCAACACACTCATCCACCACACCAACACACCCACCACCACACCAACACACTCACCCACCACACCAACACACTCACCCACCACACCAACACACTCACCCACCACCCCAACACACTCACCCACCACACCAACACACACACCCACCACCCCAACACACTCCACCCACCACCCCAACACACCCACCCACCACACCAACACACACTCACCCATCACACCAACACACTCACCCGCCACACCAACACACCACCCGCCACCCCAACACACTCACCCGCCACCCAACACACTCACCCACCACACAACACACACTCACCCACCACACCAACACACTCACACACCCGCCACCCCAACACACCCACCCACCACACCAACACACTCACACCCGTCACCCCAACACACTCACCCGCCACCCCACACACACCATCCACCACCCCAACACACACACACACACACACACTTAACGGATTGACTTAAGATAAAACGCAAAAAATCTAAAAAAAAAAATAACATTACACTTTAACTAAAACTCTACCTTAATTAGTTACGTCACCTTAACGCCAGGTAGAGCAACTTAACTTTGATGTTTTTTTTTTACAATTTTTTTTTGTATGTTTTTGTAAAATTTAATCAATTAGTTACGTTCTTAAAAATTACGAGGAGTTGTATTTGTCGAATTGCCTTACTGTCTACCATTGTTTGTTAGCCATTGTTTACGTACCTACGCTCTCTACGTATATTATTGGTATAGATGTATGGTTCATGTACACATTGTATACCTGCATTGTCTACCTGTATATACAAGCTGAATCAATGTAAATATGAATGGCAATTTTAAATGACTAAATATCTATCTATCTATGGGTTCTCTGAGACTCATGTACCCTGGCTGGCTGGTGTAAGTTTCAGGATAGTAAGTAAAAAAAAAAATGTTTATCATGTATGTACACAGAGGAAGTGCTTATCCACATCCTCTGATAAACATTGCAGCACACACACACGGGAAACGTTCAGCAACACACAACCTGACGTCACAAGGCGAGTTAAGAACGAGGAATTATTGACCGGTCATTATAACCCAACTAATGCAAGGTCTCTTTATACACAGTAAATACTTCCATAAAATTAATTTCCCATCAAAATCCCGTCACAGTAACAGGGATACAATACAACAATAATTCTTGGGGTATTTTTTATATCACAATATCCATTTGGGTTAGGTTTTGCTGTTGAATTTATTTATTTTCCTAAAGCCAATAAACTATCGTTGATTTTATGATACAAAAATATTAATTCACTACAATAATAAAGAGATCAGTTTCAAAATGTATTCGTGTATTCTGTTTGATATAATCAGTCGCGTTCGAAGGCGCCAGAAATTCCCGGAAAATAATGTGATAAACCTGGATGGTGATGTCACATCCCTCCCCCACCCCCCCGTAACTCCTGCTTAGAATAAAACCGATATATGTTATGTCATAAATAATTATCTTGACTCTGGTGATAGAGTTTTGTCTATATAATGGTTGTCTAGTTTGTATTTTCCATCATTTCGAGTGCTCAGTCCGTGTTTACGAGCGGTGGCGTGATTTTCCCAGGACGAACAAAGTATGATTTGATGTTTAGTACAACCGACTTACCAAATCCTTACTTCACTTCAACTTGAATAGTGTGAGATAATACATGATTAAACCCATTAAGTTATGGTTACTTTTACACGTATGGAATAAAGCGTAAATTTCTTAAAAGATTTCAACTTTAATATCAATACCAACATGACTTAACCAGACCGAACTTTATGTAACTTGAGATATGTATGAGTGAACTTAAGTTAAATCTTGATAAGATAACTTTAAGTGAAGCCTCGGATGTGTTGGGTAGGTTTTCTAGTTCATCCTGGGAAAAATATAGCAGAGACCAGGGGTGGAGGGGGGGGGGGGCAGCCGTGGTTCGAGATTTGTCCGCTAGGAGCCATCCCAGTCGTTGCTATAGTTACGGGGAAGCTGCTATCCCACACTGCCTTCAGCACATGTGAACGTAAAAGTGCTGTTTAATACATTACTGATCAACTTTGGTAAATCATCATGACATAGAACTTTAATAGCAGAGGGAGGGCTCGCTCAGGCAGGCGTCGCGACACCTCAAGCAGGAGGTTAACAGTAGATAACAGGTAGATAAAGACAGGAAGCACAGTATGATTGTAGCAGGAGCGAGCGACTTAACACACGTCTACACTTACACTTATCTCCCACGAAGGGTTATTAATCCTCGGTAAGACGATAAGAGACAAGTGAAATTTTCTTCCTATGAATAAGACGCTGTCAGACGGTTATAATAGTTACCTAGGAGGCACAAGCAACAGTATGCACATAGCCCCAATGAGGGAGGCGCGGGTGGGGATAACCTACCTGTGGGCGGGGTGGGCGTGTAGAACGTGTGACTGAGGCGAGTGCCGACACCAGAATGAGGCCGCCCTTGCACCCCCAAGCCGAGCATTACCACAGCCTGCAAAACAGCCAATGAATGGTGGCCACGTCACAGCCCCGACACAAACTCCGCCTCTCCCCCACTCCGTCCGGTCACCCCGGCAGATTCCACGCCCCACGCCCACGCCCACATGACCTCCCGCAACTTCTGGGTCACGACCTACGTGACCCTCGCCCCACACGCCCTGTACATGAACCTAAAAGACTTCTGCAGTCAGCTACTAGAGTACAGCAGCCCAGAGACCCTCCCTGCTAGTCGTAACTATCACCAGGCGTCATGGAGGCACAGTTGACCTCTAATGACACACCTGACTGACCTGGCACACCAAAATATATTAATTAAACCTCGATAATCACTGGCAATGCTAAGTAACATACCTGAACATTGTTGATGGTACAGTACAGTCTCAAGCAGATTTGTGGTCAAGGAGTGACGTCACCATGTAAACAAGTACTGAGGTGGGCACGACCAGCCACCTAAGGCGGGCGGTAACTCCTGATGAAAAACGTGTTCGTGAGTGTTAATGGATCTAGTGAACGCAAGGAGCACCATACACTATATTTTATACCTGGACAGACTGTTAACTTATATCTTCAGCTACGTAAGTACATAAAAACACAAAGTACAAAAAAATAATGGTGTAAATAAGAAGTGTAAGAGCAGACTGTATCACAACCATCCAGTCTAAACAGTTACCAACAACAAACATCTACTCAGACAAACTAACTGATCAATCAACATAACAGTCTCTTTAATTAAGGACCTCCCCGAGTGCTTGTACTACCCACACAAGTATGTCATATTAGTCACCAAGCAGTAAACTTGTAGATAAATATACAGTACTACGATAAGATAAGACATCCCAGCTAATATCACCTGAAGATTAAACACCCTAACGTTAACCTAACCTAACCTAACCTAACCTAACCTAACCTAACCTAACCTAACCAAATTAACCTAATCTAACCTAACCTAACCCATAGTATCAACTTAGATAGTTCTCTCTCACACACGGAGGAAAATAGATAGTTTTCTCTCTCACACACGGAGGAAAATAGATAGTTTTCTCACACACACGGAGGAAAATAGATAGTTTTTTCTCACACACACGGAGGAAAATAGATAGTTTCCTCTCACACGGAGGAAAATAGATAGTTTTCTCACACACACACGGAGGAAAATAGATAGTTTCCTCTCTCTCACACGGAGGAAAATAGATAGTTTTCTCTCTCACACGGAGGAAAATAGATAGTTTTCTCTCTCACACGGAGGAAAATAGATAGTTTTTCCCACACACACGGAGGAAAATAGATAGTTTTCTCTACACACACGGAGGGAAAATAGATAGTTCTTCTCTCACACGGAGGAAAATAGATAGTTTTCTCTCTCACACCTGAGAATAGATAGTTTCCTCTACACACGGAGGGAAAATAGATAGTTTCCTCTCACACGGAGGGAAAATAGATAGTTTTCTCTCCTCTCCACACGGAGGAAAATAGATAGTTTTTCTCACACACACGGAGGAAAATAGATAGTTTCCTCTCCCGGAGGAAAATAGATAGTTTTCTCTCTCACACGGAGGGAAAATAGATAGTTTCCTCTCTCCCGGAGGAAAATAGATAGTTTCTCTCACACACGGAGGAAAATAGATAGTTTCCTCTCTCCCGGAGGAAAATAGATAGTTTCCTCTCTACCGGAGGAAAGTGTCCTGCAAGATGCAGTATGAGTTCTATTTGTAAGTGTTAGTCGCATGTTATCAACACGCGTGAGCAATCAGGTACCGACACTCAGGTTATCTAATCAGGTGGGATAACTTCAGTCAGAGGTACATAACGAGTACATGGAGCATAGAGTACCTAGTGGGATGAGTACAGTACTCCTCTCTCTCTCTCTCCTCTCTCTCCCTACCACACCTCGCGTCACACCTTCTCCCTTCACACCTTGGAGACGCCCATCCTCTGTGTCACATCATGTCAACAGAGCTTTTTTTTTCCTTCTATTTCCATAATATTGTCATTTTTGTGTTTACTTTTATCCAGTTTTCTTCTCCATGTGTGTGTGTGTGTGTGTGTGTGTGTGTGTGTGTGTGTGTGTGTGTGTGTGTGTGTGTGTGTGTGTGTGTGTTTATGTGATTACCTTCTTCCCTATTTCAACAGAGCCTGGCTACTGGCCACATCATCACCACTACCACACACACCACTAGGAACCACCACCATCACCACTCTCACCCACCACCATCACCACTATCACCACCACCCCACACCTCACACACACACCTCACACTCCACCACACTCATACCCTCCCACCACACCTCATACCCTCCCACCACCCCACCTCCCACCCTCCACCCTCACACCCCTCCCCACCCACCTCCCACACACCCTCCACCACACCTCCCACACCTCCCCACACCTCACACCTCCCACCACACCTCACCCCACCCTCCCACCACACCTCCACACCCCTCCCACCACACCTCACACCCCTCCACCACACCTCACACCCTCCACCACCACACACCCACACCCCACACACTCCACCACACCTCACACCCCACCACACCACACCCCTCCACCACACCTCACACCTCCACCACACCTCACACCTCCACCACACCTCCACACACTCCACCACACCTCACACCCTCCACCACACCTCACACCTCCACCACACCCTCACACACTCCAACACCACCACACAACACATTAGCATATTCGCGGTCGTAAACACGCTCTTGCATGTCATATACTTTGCACTCCTCAAATCAACTACATTCCCACTCACAACTATTCAATCCCACTCACAACCACTCAATACTACTACTCACAACCACTAATTTCCACTCAACAACCACTCAAACCCACTCACAACCACTCATTTCCACTCAACAACCACTCAAACCCACTTACAACCACTCATTTCCACTCAACAACCACCAACCACTCACAAACACTCAAGCCCACTCACAACCACTCAATCCCACTCACAACCACTCATTTCCACTCAACAACCACTCAAACCCACTCACAAACACTCAAGCCTACTCACAACCACTCAATCCCACTCACAACCACTCAATCCCACTCACAAACACCAAGCCCACTCACAAACACTCAACCCACTCACAAACACCAAGCCCACTCACAACCACTCATTTCCACTCAACAACCACCAAATCCACTCACAACCACTCATTTCCACTCAACAACCACTCCAAATCCACTCCACAAACACTCAAGCCCACTCACAACCACCAATCCCACTCATGCCACCATAGCCCCTTTCCTCTGTCACTCTATCAACTTTATTCATTGTTCTTGACTCTAGAATACCATGATGAAAGCCTCCCTACACACACACACACACACACACACACACACACACACACACACACACACACACACACACACACACACACACACACACACACACACACACACACACACACACACACACACACACACACACACACACACACACACACACACACACACACAGAAGGCAAAGTCCCACTGTAGAGATGTATAAAATATTTTACCTACTGTAGTAATTAAGAAGCAACAGGTAAGAGCAGGCAGGTGAGGCTTAATTGCTGGGAGGAAGAGCAGGAAGAAGAGTTTAAGGAAGAGGAGGAGGAAGAGTAAGAGGAGGAAGAAGAGTAAGAGGAGGAGGAAGTTGGGGGAGGAGGAAGAGGAGAGGAGAAAGAAGAGGAGGACAAGGAGGAGAAAGAAGAAGAAGAAGAAGGAGAATTTAACCTCTTGAGAATAATGAGCTTGATGACTTAGAGTTATGTTGTCATGTAAGGGGTTAGAGGTGTGTGTGTGTGTGTGTGTGTGTGTGTATGTTTGTTATACAAGCGAACTAACCATTACCACCACCCACCTACTACCACCAGTACCAGCATCACCACTACCACCCAGTACCACCACCCCTACTCCTACCACCACCCCTACCTCCACCACCACTCCTACCACCACCACCATCACTACCCGGAAAACCCCTACTACCACCACCATCACCTCCAGGTCAGGTCGTTACCACATGATGGTCGTTCGGGGGGTAGTTCACCACCTAATTGGCACAACTGCTAGGGACGAGGGGGGAGGGGGAGCGGAAGGCTATAGTAGTTACGATAGTTACCATCATTAACTCACTGTTCGTCGTAGGTGATAACGAGGACTCCTTCACTAGGGAAAAGGGCGTAGGACCTTGGCAATAGGATGTCCTGGAGTAACTGGCTAATCCTACGGGAGTGAGGGCCCTTATTTCACTACTCTGGGCTGTCGACCTTCTTACTACACGTGACTCTTATCAAGGTGTGTGCGTGGGAGGTGGGGAAGGGTTAGGTGTGTGTGTGTGTGTGTGTGTGTGTGCGTGTGTGTGTGTGTGACTGTACATATAAGTATCTTACAGAGTCAACAGGTCACCAAATGTACACACAGCGCAAAAAGTTCCACCCAACATAGTGTGCCAGGGATCCCACCAGACTCATCCATGGGTGTCAGCTTACCCATGCCCCCATCCTTCCAGCTATTCACCACATCCTAACACCTATCCTTCTCCACCCCCAATTACTCCTGACCTCCCTACACATATCATTACCCTTCCTAGTAATCCAAGATGTCCCTCACCCCCTTCCCCCCCTCTTCCTTTCCACTATCCTATGATATCCTACACCCCCCCTTTCCTATCGTCCCTATTACTCCACCACATCCTCAACCCCCCATCGTATAGTTCTCACCACTTTCTCCCCAGCGCCTCTTAACACCCCTCACCCCTGACCGCACCCAACACACACGTGGAGCTCAGAATCCAACATCATACGAACCACGCCCGTCCAGTAGTGTTCCTGGATAACGCTATCTGTGACCCACCCATACCACGCCCATGCCACGCCCACTACCACGCCCATGCCACGCCCATGCCACGCCCACTACCACGTCCACGAGCATGCCTGTCACCACACCCTCCACCACCACACCATCCACCACGCTCTCTACCACACCCTCCACCACACCCTCTACCACACCCTCTACCACACCCATGCTCTCCATCAGAAGGCTGGAGCCACGCCTTAAAAGTCCCCATCCTAACAGACAGTCAGCCACTCAGTCAATCAACCAATTAGTCAGCAAGTCAGTCAGCCAGTCAACCAACCATCCAATCAGTTAATCAACCAGCCAGCCAATCAACCAACCAGTCAGTCAGTCAACCAACCAGTCAGCCAGTCAATCAACCAGCCAGCCAGTCAACCAACCAGTCAGCCAGTCAATCAACCAGCCAGCCAATCAACCAACCAGTCACACACACACACACACACACACACACACACTCTCTCTCTCTCTCTCTCCTGGACTAATTAACAGTTGAGTACACAGGTGTATTACAGGTGGGAGTTGGTCTCGTGATGTCACATAATTAGGAGAAATTACTGACAAATGAGTCTTATAGCTGGGAGTAGTTGGGAGTCTTATAATTTTGGAGCCTTATTGCT